GTCAATGTTATTGATCCGCGAGAAGGCCGTCTCCATGAGAGCGTACAGAGTCTCGTATGCGCTCTGTGTTTGTAGTTAGCAGGGGCCGGACTAAATCTTCTAAAGTTGAACATGACATACCTTTCGAACTTCAAGGCCATCATCCACCATATGTTTGAAAGGGCCCATCATGACCTCTCTGATCAATTGTGGCTTGATCACCGACTCGGTCAACACAAAGGGCATCAGCTCGCCAAGGTGAGGCAAAATCAGATCGGGCTTGTTGTGCGCAGCCGAGTTGAGCGTCGACATCGCCAAGCGACGATTGTCCATCTCCGAATCCTGCAGCATAACAAGCAGCATGTCGACAAGGACATTCTTTAGCATGGCGTCAAAAGCCTCGTCGCTATCAGGAAGCGTGTATCGGACTGCCTGAACAGCCATGCCTCTGATGTCGGGGTTCTCATTTCTAAGAAGGGACTTTGTCGCTGTTAGCTATATTCTCTCCGTCACGAAATTATCAAAACTTACCTGCAACTGAGGCATAAAGGTCTGAGAGTCGATGATGGTCAGTCGTCCCACACATTCCGCGCACACCACTCGGTTGTCGGGTATAGTAGAGGCAGAAAGGAGATGCTGCCAGATGTCGGCCGCAAACTTGGAGACCTCGGCAGAAAGAACGTTGACTTGCTGCAAGATCTCCTTTATCGACTGAATAAGCAGGTATTGCGTGTTGCCACCCTTTTGCATGGTCTCCAGGATGACTGGGAGGTACTCGGAAACATTGCCTGAGCCAGCTCGGCCAAGGGCTACTGCAGCCGAAATAGAGACCTTGTCGGGCTCGTCGTGGAACTGTTGCAGGAATAGTTCCGCCTTCAATGGCGAGTTGGCTCCAAGACGGAGACCAGCCTCACCGAGCACCGCTAGTGCCAAGCTCAAGCGAGCGTCATCCTTGTTCCTGGAACTGGTTTGCAACTCGGAAATGAAGCTCTCAACTGTGACGCCAGCCGAGCTTCCACTGGCCACAAGAAGTGCACCAATAACCTTGCCCACGACAACGGGATCTCCTTCGATACTAACGTCATTGAGAAGCCCTTGCATGAGAGGCTGGCCAGCGCCGCTCTCGCCAACTTTCGTGACAAGAATAAGGATTTGGTCCAGGACGATGCTGGCGTAGCTCGACTTTAGCAGACTGCAGATAGTAGCGGTCATTGACTGTGTGACCACGAGGTCTGCGTTCTCCTCGACGAGGGTCGCGAGAATAAGCAGGGCTGGTGCCAGCAGATGAGTGTCGTTGTTGCTGATAACGGGTACCAGCGACGAAACCAGGCCCTGGATAGTGTCCGCATCCAGTTGGCCTCTGGCGGTCGGCGACACAACCAAGTGCTTGAGTGCGAGCACGCTAGAACCGCGAAGAGCTCGGTTAGCCTTGCGGAGTTGTCCCGCCAGCTCCAAAGCGACCTCCCGAATCCACGACGTCTCGAGCTGGCCACTGCTAGTACTGAAAGCCGCAACGTTATCGACGGCTCTGACGGCAGCCAGACGAGTGGTCTCGTTCTTGAGGCGGTCGAGAAGTGCAGCCAAGGCAGCCAGTCTCTTTTCCGTAGGGATCAGACCATTTCCATCGGCACCGGACGTTCTAGACAGCAATACTCCCAATGCGTGAATGCCACGTTGCTTGACTTCGGCGTCGGCATCGGTGGCAGTGATTCTGTTCATGATTGTGTCGAAGAGCTTCTGGAGCTCGCCTTTGAACTTTTGTGCCGTCATCTTGGACCGAGGGGGAGTGATTGCCTTCACCAACTCCTCGATCGTCCCGATGGCTTCACTTGAGATCTTGTAGAATCGATCATTTGCTGCCGATATCACGCCAGCCACAATCTTGGTCAGGTATGGCTGCAAGAGGCTCGACGAGTGGGTCTTGGCAATATCGCTGGTGAGTTTAAGGGCGGCAACACGCAGAGTACTGGGCGTTGCGGACGCATTTCCGCCAGAGGCAGCCAGAGACGAGGAGAGTGACGACGCTCCAGTGGGTTTAATAGACTCAATGATGGGGCCAATGGCGTCGTTGAAGTAGTCGGAAAGACCGCCTCGCTGAACTGTGATAATATCATCGAGGAGGTTGATGATTGCTTGCTTGGTAGGAATAACCTTGCCCTTGAGAAGCTTGGTGGAAGCCTTCACAATTGTCGGGGTGAAGCGAGCCAGATCTGCGCGGGGCCCAGTTGAAGGGATTCTCTCGAGAGTTGGGGACGTCAGGCCCGTGGCAGCATGAGGGGTGTTCATAGAACCGCCGCCGCTGCTCTGTCGTCTGCGTTTTCTGCTGATAGGAATCGAGCTAGGCGCCTCGGGCTCCTGGTCGTCGAGAGAGAGATCTGTGGGGTACATGCCCTCGCCTGTCTTGCGCACAAGGAGAGACAAGCATGCAATGACCTCGAGACGGACGTTCTCCTCTCTCTCATCGAATCTCTTCACTAAAGTGGGTCCTGCCTGGCTGTACAGAACGCCGTTCTCTAACAAATCACCGCTTCCACGAGTAGAGATGAGAGTGTAGAGAGCCTTGGCGGCACAACGCCGGACCTTCCAGCTTGCGTCGTCATCATCGTCAAAGCCAGCATCGTCTTCGAACTCATCATCATCCTCATCCTCATCCTCGTCATCAACGTCCATATCTTCGTCGTCGTCGCCCATTGCGTAGTTGGGGTCGTACTTGAGATATCTGAGAGTTGCCTGGATGGCTTGGTCGGTAAAGGGGCGCATCTGTGTTGGGCAGGCGGCGAGGAACGACTCCAAAGCCACAAGGGCGGACTCTCGCACTTCGTTGAACTCCTGGCCGATGTCATCTCCGTCGCTGATCTCCTCCAGGTGTTTCTCAAGCTCACCCTCGCTCAAAGCTTGGAGAATAAAGGGCACCAGAGACTTCAAGTATGAGCCGAAACGGGTGGGGATCGATCTTGCTAAAGAGCCGGTGATGGAAATGTAGAGGCGGCGTGTGACGGCAGAGATATCGGCCTTGTTCAGGTCGTTGCCCATGCGCTGGACCATGTGGCTAAGCAGGTCGTCTGATAGGTGAACAGCAAGTATCGAAATAGCCACCACAGCCCTCTTCTTCACGACCGACGACGTCTTTTCGTTCTCGAGCAGGGTGATAACCGCATCCTGCATCGCCTCGACCTCGAGGGGCGACAGCATGACGCCAAAGCATCTGACAACCTCGATCAGAATGTCCACCGACTCCGCGCTCAGGTCTTTGTCCACCTTAAGGAGACCCTGCGGGACGGGCGGCAACTGAATGTTGTTGGAAGGGTTCTGCGGCTGCGTCTTGCCGCCGGGTCCCAGCAGCCTTGGAATCAGAACTCGACTGACGGCTTGGTATGCTTCTGTAACGTCCTTGGTGGGCGGCAGGCCAGGTGTGGGTTTCGGGAGGGCCATGATGACGGCGCGGAGAGCGAGCGAGGGGACAGCATTGTCAACCGAGTTCTTCAGCTTGATTGTAGAGAGTTTCTCAATCATTGGTGCGATAATCGGGGTCGGGACTTTCATGACCAGCGGTCCGAGACTGCAGAGGGGAACTGGTCAGCTCTTGCCATAATTGCTCGTTGGGCAATCGAGAACGGATTTGGACGGGAGGGGTTGTAAATTCTCGCACCATTTGATCGCCAGGTTCTGCACCTCTCCATTCTGATCGTCGAGCACCTTGATGATGCTATCAACAGTACGCGCGGCAACATTGTAGTCGTGGTGCAGAAAGTCAGGCTTGCCGTTCGCCAGGACCTGGAGCAGATCGTTGAGCGACATGAACCGGAAATCCGGGTCTGCGTCTCCCAGCTTCTGCACCAGCTGGATCACCGTCTGGGGTGTCGGGTTCGTGGGGACGCTTGACGAAGCCATCTCGGATCGTCTCGTTTGGCGTGGTCTGGTAGGTGGAAGGAAGATCGAGGTGAGGAGGAGGTTATCGCGGCAGGTGGCGTGTCAGCGGGGAATCGGTTGCTCTGACCATGCAGAGAAAAAGAGGAAAGAAGATCGACCGTCCCGCGAGAAGTGGAAAGATGGCGGAAGATACGGCGTGTATCGCGGCGGTAAATTGGGTTGGGTGTCTTTGATGTTGGCTTTGGATCACAACAACAGAGACCCTCGTGAAAGAGGCGTTGTTGGTGGTGGGGTTACAGGTCCCAGAGCTCCAGGCAGGAAAGGGCCCGGTCAGTGTCGTTGGGTGGGATTACCTTAGACAATACACTACGGAGTACCTAAGGAAAGGACGGAGAGAGGTCCCCTCAATGCTACCAGTTCCGGGACGTTCTTGCCCCGCGATAGTGGACCCCCCACCACTGGGCTCTGCCTGCCCGCGCAGTGACCACCACGCTGGAGCGTCAAGTCCCCTGGGAGGGAGAACCATCGGCTCCCGGTCTATGGCAGTGGAGACGGGACGGAGCACCCATCCTCCGAGGAGTTATTCCGGTAAAAGATTAGATAAGCATTCAAGTGGAACCTCCATAGTATTCGAGCTCCCCCCGACTTGGGATTATGTCGTGCGGCCCCCCCGGCAAATGTCGTCACCACAAAGCTGTGGGGAACCAGCCACACCCGGCATCTGGAACTATCCAGCCTCTTCCCAACCATTGGCCGAATTGCTCTTGGAAGCTCGTTGCTGGTTGCTGTGCGCAAGCTCGCAGCTCCGAGCTCCTAGACTTCGGACGGCAGGCCAGACAGGTCACTCAAGTCAGCGCCAACATTGAACAGGCCAGAAATCAAGGCCAAGCCACACCAAGCTAACCCCAGCTTTTTTCCTTCTTTTGGCTTCCTTCCCGTGCTTCCCAAGCGGGTTTTTATCGTGTTGCTGCTCTCTTAGTCCTTTTCATCTCTCTCTCTTTCTCTCCCGTTATCCGTAATCTTCTTTTCCAAAGGACACTCGCAACTGTTCCAATTGGTCGTGCCATTGAGCTTTCCTCCTTCATTGTACCTCAGCGAATTGAGCATTTCCCTTGCATTTCACGGACACCACTCCCTACACAAATTCCAAAATGTCCTTTGCCAGAGCAGCTCCCCTGCGTTCCGCCCTCCGATCCTCGGCGCGCCGGACCATCCGTCCCCAGTTCCGTTCTCAGGTTGGCCAGAGGACCTACGCCAGCCAACATGGCGCGAAGCCCCAGAGCGAGCTCCCACTGTAAGTCAATTGCCTTTGTGTATCCCCAATCTGAGACCAACTGGCCTCTTTCAATTGAGTCTCTTCTGTGGACTTTGGGATATATACTACACCAGTTGCTTTGCCAAGGAACATTCATCTGACCACTGTTCCATAATACAGCGCCATTGGCTCAGTAGTCTTCTTCGCTGCGGGCCTGGCCGTAATCCAGCCGTGGAGCGCTCCCGCGCCGGCCAAGGGCCACGGCGGCGCTCATGCCAAGCATGACGAGGAGGAGAAGCACGATGAGCCCGAGGAGAAGGAGGAGGAGGACTCCAATTCTGAGGACAAGGAAGAGTCAAAGCCCGAGGAGAAGGAGGACGGCAAGTCTGAGGATAAGAAGGAGCCCAAGGAGGAAAAGAAGTCTGACGACTCCGAGGAGAAGCCCAAGGAGGAGTCTAAGGAGGATAAGTCCGGGGATAAGCCCAAGGAAGAGTCCAAGGACGAGAAGAAGGGCGAGGATAAGGAAGAAAAGTCTGAAGACAAGAAGGAAGAATCTGAAGACAAGAAGGACAACAAATCTGAAGATAAGAAGGAAGGCAAGCCTGAGGATAAGAAGGAGAAGTCCGAGGACAAAGAGGGAGAAAAGTCCGAAGACAAGAAGGAAGACTCCAAGGATGAGAAGAAGGAGGACAAGAAGGAGGATAACTAAACCCTCCCCCAACCCTCATCACCAACGCCCAAACGACCTTGATGCTCAAAAAGCTCCCACTAATCACCGCACCCATGGTCCATGTATAAAACTCTAGTCAGGTCATTTTATTCTAATACATAATAAAGCATGGCCAACTCGGTATTCTCAACAATCACGGGTAAAGCAGAACTGAAATCACCAAAGTAAGGTAATTGAGAGGGTCCTTGGATTCCTTGGCGTAGTCTTATCACCCGTATGTACACAGACTACGCCTAGTGTATGCAATCCCCCGTTGTCTACTACCGACTGTTGTTTGACCTCTGAAAACGCCAAACGCAAAAATCCCATCCTGCTTTGTGGTATCAAGAACAAGAACCAGAGACGTCGAACCCGAAAAGGACAGCGAAAATAACCATGATGATAACCCATGGCAGCCAATTATGTACACAATCAATGAACCTCTCTTCGCCTCCTCCTTCCTATGGTATAGACGATTGACCGGTTGGCCGCAACTCAATGGGGCCATTCGCGTGAGTATTCTTTGCGCTCCCCAACCACCTTGTTGCCACAGAAAGGCGTGGCTTCTTTGTCGGCTCCGATACACTCAGCTCTGGGTCTGCAATGTTGGTTTCCTCAACCGGGGGCGTGAAAGACCTGGCGGCCGACTCGTCTCTCGACCTTCGAGACTGCCGTGCCTGGTGGAATGAGGGCCGAGTAGTAGAGTGACTGGGTCTGGGCGCACCATCGACATTGGAGGGCCTCTCCTCGGTATGGCCAAAGACCGACTTCGTCTTGCTACCGATAACTTCCAACATTGTTCCAGATGTGTCACCATGGCCACCTTCCATTCCCTCGGCCGCGTCATCCGCATTGAAGCCCTTCCTCTCAAGGCGTTGCATAATATCAACATCACGTGGCCAGTACACCCGGCGTATTGCGTCGACTATCAGCTCCAAGCAGACGACTGTCGCAAGCGCCAGGAGAATTGTAGTCCAGAAACTCAAGGTTCTGCCAAAGTTCTTAAGGAAGGCGTGGCGGAGCTGATAGATGCGCAAAATGGGCCGGAAAGCTGCTGACAGAATGATGTTCCACAAGAACCAACCGCCGACCGAAATTAGAAATCCGGCCAGAATGATGACATTCTTGTTTTCCATTTCAAGGACCCTAATTTCATTAGCAAAGTATCATGCATAGTTCCCCATGAAGTAACTCACAGCAACTTGATGTTGATAAACACCACAGCAACCGTAAAGGGGACGGATCCCATTGCATAGAGTGATGTGTCCTGATCGAAAGGCAGCGAGTTGTAGACCGCCCAGGTCACCCAAAAGATGATGAGCGACTCAATCAGCCCGAGGAATGTCCAGCCGATATAAAGCTTGATGTTGAAGGCTCTGTTCTTGTGGCCATAGGTGTAGAGCTCGGGGAATTCGAGGAGCGTCTTTGCTTGCAAATCCTTTTCCAAACCGCCCAACAGGATAACCGCAAGTGACGTGAAGAACGTGTTGAACACCGTTAAACTCCAATTCTCATACAGAGACGTTCCGGTATATCCCGTGTAGCGCTGGAAATAAGCCTGTGGTAGAAAAAAGACGATTTCCTTCCAAAAGGTGGCGAGAATATATCTGCCAGTCCGAAGGTAGTTCCAGCGGCCGTGGACGAAGAGAAGACGCTGCAAGAAGCGGAATTGCGCAATGGCGTAGTCGGAGATGCGGGCGGCTTGGAGACCTTCGCGGCCCGAGATACCGATACCAACGTGCGAAGCTTGAATCATGCCGATGTCGTTGGCGCCGTCACCAATGGCCAGAGTCAGGGAGTGAGGTACTTGTCGGCGAATACGCTTGACGAGAGTAGCCTTCTGCGAGGGAGAGGCACGACAACAAATGACCGAGTCGACTCTCACTACAAGGTCGAAGAAGAGGAAGCTGAGATCTTCATCCCCTTCAATGATGCCCAAGGTCTGACCATCGACCACTACTACTGCGTGGGGTGCCATGCCTCGGGCGACTTCACCCAAGGTCGACAGGATTGACTCTTGCAGATTGCCCATTGTAGCATCCAAGATGAAGACCTCGGAAACTGGCTTACACAGGCCGGCAGAGTGACCGATGTTGATGGCCGTCTCGCGCTTGTCTCCAGTCAACATCCAAACCTTGATCTCGGCGCGACGAAGCTTTTCGATAGTTTCCGGTACACCCTCTTGCAGTCTGTCTTCGATGGCGGTGGCACCGGCAAGGTCGAACTTATCCTCAATAAGCTCGCCAGCAGCCTCAATTTTCTCTTGGCGATTATCCAAACTGGTGGTGGCATCGTGGTAGATCTTTTTCCACGTGCTGTAATCATCCTCGCTGATGTATCGGTAACCGTAAAGTAAAGTCCGCAGTCCCTCTGAGGCAAACTCATTGATGTGCGTGAAGCATCGTTCGAGGACAGTGCCCTCATTGAGGGCCACTGACTCGTCAATGAAGTCGTCCACTTCATCCTCGTTCGCGGACATGGCCATACTGTGACGTGGCGATGACCAGATTTCGTGGGGGCTCATGGGTGAGAGAATGTCTGCCGAGCCTCGGCGAGAATTCCAGGCGTCAGCGTCTTCAGTAACGGCGCTAGATCGTCTGAGCATGTCACCAGAGATCCTCTGATTCATCATACTACGTCGATCAGACATTGACGTCCTCCCAATCACGAAGCTGCTGCGAGGCGTTCCACTCGTGCTGAGCCGTTGTTGTGCCTTTTCCCTCTCGACACTCCTACGAATCGAGGCTCTCCGATTGACGTCGTTTGCCTTTTGCGTGGCAAGACCGCTAAGCTTGAGACGAGGCAGGATGACGTTATCAGCGCCTTTGCAGAAAACACACACTCTGCCGTCTGGCATGCGCATGATGATGGACATCCTCTTCCTCTGACTGCTGAACTCAATCACGTCTAGCACCTGGTACGTCTCTCTTTTGATCGTTCCGTCAGCTTCGGGCATTTGAAGTATGACCGACTGCGCAGGTCGGTCAATGAGGAGGTAGCCAAGGTCTCGCGCAGCTTCAACCAAAGCAAGTTCATCGGGAGAGGCGGCTTGGTAATCGATCTCGCCGTCTTCCCTGGTCTCGGGTAGACATGTGTGACAGAGAGCGATGCAGAGTAGAAACTGTTTGGCTTTCTTGGAAAACACAGTGTCCGGTTTGCGCCGCAGGTAGTCGAGGAGATCTTCAGTCTTGAGTTCGGGCTCGGCTTGAGGGGCCCGGCTTGTGGAGCGTCCTCGTCCATATGTGCTGATGGATGGCCTTCCTTGTGCTGGTGTCAACGAAGAGTAGTTGTCGTGATCGCTGGCCGTCTTTTCGCGGTTCTTATCCTTGCCTTTTCCTTTGCGCTTTTTCCGGGCCATTTCAATCAGCTTTTGCTTGGCGTGTTCGTCTCGTTCAATATCCATGTCGTGAAGCCACGCGGTGCCGGCGACGCTCATCTTTCTGAAGCGCATCACGTTCTCCGTCAAGGTGCCTGTCTTGTCCGAAAAGACGTAGTTGACTTGGCCCAAGTCTTCGAGAATGGTCGTCGTGTTGGCAACCATTGGCGTATTAGTGACCGGGTCGTACATCTCGACATCTCCCATCATGTAAAACTGTATGATCTTAATGATTTCCAAACTGATGTACAACGACAGCGGAATAAGGGTGTTAAACATGAGGATGAAGGCAATGAAGATCTTTCTCATACTAATGCGTTCACCCATGAAGTACCAAGAGGACTCGTGGTCTCGCCACAGATAATGGCCCAAGGTAAGACCGCTGCTTAGTCCGAGTAGCACTACTATGAGCCAAACGACGATTCTGTTGAGAACGCGCTGCATGGCGGGTGCTTTGGTGCGTACGTGCTTGTGAGCGTTCATTCGGATCTTGCACTCTTCACCCGTGTTCACGACGATGCCAATAGCCTCTGTAGTGTTTCGCACTGTAGAACCGCGGTAAATGACATTGTCGAGTGACAGCGGCAATGTCTCTCCGTCGATAGTAACACGCCCGTCGTACCGGTAAAGGTCCAGATTTGGATCCTCGGAAACGATGGTCGCCCGGCAAGACTCGATGCCTTCCAGAGTTTGACACCTTTCAGCGAGGGTGGACGAGGCTCTCTTCGCCTTCAAATTCGTCTCGCCGTCCAAAGCCATAGTCTCGATGTAAGCGGTGCCATTGGGTCCGGACGCATATAGAAGGACGATATCCGCCGGAATGTCGTCGTCTCGCTGAAGTCTGACGACATCGCCAACCTTGAGATCCTGCCATTCAATCTCGGTCCATCCATCTGTCGAGTGTTCAGCAACTTCGCCGCCCTTGTGTCTCTTCATCCTCGCTGTTGCCTTCTTGGATCGGTCGCCCAAAACCCATGCGCGACTCAAGTTTTCGGTCTTTGCCAGCAGATACCGGCGGTAGTCGTCGTATCCTTCCTTGGCCATTGACAATGACACAAACACGGCGAGGGGTGCAATGGTAGTCCACTGGCCCGTGGTGCTGAGTCCCGGGATAGCCTGAATGATACCGACGACAAGGAAGTAGAAGTTACCCATCTTACTGAACTGGAAAAGGAGCTGCTTGGGCAGGAAGCTCCATATGGTGTATCGACTGGATCGGATAAAATTACTGGCGTATGACTTCTTGGTGCGCTCGTCGATGAGATGATCACTTCGTGGCCTTGACATGTCGAGTGCGATATGCCTTCCATCTACGCTCGGCGGAAGCGGCTTCTGTCGCAATAATCCCTGCACAATGTACACATTGTACGCTTTCCTCAGCTGGTCGCTCACCGACTCCTGCGCAACGCGCCATTTCGTCCGTTTCGTTGGCTCTGGTCGGTAGACTGGGTACTTGAGATCAGAGTCTGAAGGCTGGGCGGAGCTGTGGTCGCTGCCCCGTCGAGGTCGTGAGGACGAGGGCTCGTCCTGGATATGGCCCTCGAGATCACCCCTCGAGGGAATCGTATAGAGCCCTGGCCTGTTTGAATTGGGATGCGATGAGGCCGGGTCGAAGCTACGCCTC